AGCTGTTCTCTGTGTTTGTTTCCCCCTCCTTGGCCTTTAATGGTCCTTCTGGTGCTGACAGCTGAGTTCAGGAGACTTGCTGGGTAGAGCTGAAGTCTGTGCATTCCCCAGGGTACCAGCCCCTGCTCTCAGAGCCTGTTTGAACTTAACCCCTTAGCCAACCTCTGGGGGAGGCCAGGCTTCCTTGGTTAGGAATCTGGCCCCTTGTAGTGAGCGGATCCAAATTGTGGACATTTGTAGCCCCAGTGCTCCCAGGATGTACAAAGTCATTGAAGCCCATTAGTAGAAAAATTCACGACAGCTGAGCCTTAAGTATGTGTGCCAGGCGAAGGCCAGGCAGGGTAGGGGCCAGGATGGGCCCTGATTGGCTACCCCATCCCCTCACAGCTCCTGTGAGAGGCATGGTGGGAGGCTTCTCAACCTGGCCTGTCCTGTCTCCCTTGCAGGAGTCCCTGCTTCCTGATCTTGCTTGCACCCTCCAGTGATGGGTATCTCACTCTCTCAATCTTAGGGCCTTTTATACCAGATCCTGTGAACATTTCTGGCCTGGTTCCAGCTCATCACCAGGCTCCCTGGCGGAACTTGGGGTTTTCTGCTGTGTCTGCATGTGTGTATTCTTGAGATGGTGACTCCTTTGTTCAAGGTTTCAGGGCAGTAGTGTGTCTGTATTTACACATCCGCACAGGTTCTAAGGGGGGTGATGTGTGATCTTAATATGCCATTTCAGTGGTGACTTGCAAGTTCACCAGGGCCCTGTGCACATACATGTGCCTGTGCGTGTTGGTGTGGTGGGGACTCCAGCAGCACGAGTCCATTTTTGAGTGCTCATGCTGTGGGTGGCGAGTTGGCAAGTGTAGTATTAATGTACCGTTAGGTATGAGCCAGTGTGTGTACATGTGTGTGCGGGTGATGTCAAGAGGAGTCCACTAGAATGTCAGCTGTAGGGCCGAGAGCCTTGTGGTTTTGTTTATCGCTGAATCCCTATCATCTGGAACAGTGCCAGGCGCCTAATTGGCCCCGAGAAAGCGTCTGTTGTGTGAGTGAATAGAAGCCGACATGAGCTTCTACTGTTGCCCTCAGTGCCCTGAGCTCACCATCCTAGATCCCTTCCCAACACCCAACCCATGCCACCCCAGATGCCTTGGACAGGCAGAAAACCAGCAGGGATGGGGTCCCTTCTGCCTCGCCCCAGCTGGGCCAGGACTCTTAGAACCAGGCTCAGTATTCTGTTTGTCCTGGGAGGACCCCACTTTACCCCAAAGGGTCTGCACTCCTAACCTTATTTAAAACTGTAATAGGGAACCTCCTGATGAGTCCAGAGATGCTGAGAGATTTGCTCAGAGTTACATAGCCCAGCAGATGGAAGCCGATATTCAGACTCTGCTCCTGGTCTGGGGCCCAGTCTACCGGGCTCCCCGCAGTCTACCCAGCTCCAAGCCTCATAGATGTGAACCCTCTGAGCCTGCTTCCCTGAGAATGTCAGAGGGCTCATTTCTGATCCAGGGTTCCAGGGTCACTCCACAGAGTCTCTCCTGGGCTGATCTGGGCCTCAGTTTCTTCCTCTGATACTTGGATGCCTGGAGATACCTTGGAAGATGGAATATTTGCCAAGAGAGGGCATCTGCCAGCTGCAGTCCCACTGCAAGGCCCCCTGCCTGTGCCCTGCAGCTCAGCCAATCCCCATCCTCCTGAAGGCTGATCACTTGTTGCCATGGCAGAATTTGCTCCCTTCAAAGAGCCTCTTTCCCAGCCTCTCTGAGCTTCTTTGTGGGGTGGGGAGGGGCCAGCCAGGGCAGGGCTTCCTGGGTGTCCACACAGTAAGTCCCTGCTAGATGGCACTGGGGTGGTTTGTCTCATTCCAGCTTGGGATGGGGGGAGTGGCGGGGGGTGGGGGAGCACTGGGGCGGGGAGGAAGTGTCTGCCCCGGGGGATTCTGGGTGACTTTTCTTTCTTTCTCAGTTAGTGTTTTCAGGAAGTGTGTGTTTTGGCTAGGGCTGCAGGGGTGGGGGAGGCGGAGAGCAGGAAGCCAGGGCTGGATGCAGACACAAACACACACATACACACACACACACACACACACAGGCACTCACTCACTCTCTTCACAGTTATACACAGAAACACACACACAGACAAGTGATCAGAGATACAAATCACAGGCGCCACACCTGGACCCAGATTTAGCTTCAGACATACCCAGGGAACAGGTGCCAAGAACTCTGCGAGACCTGCCCAGGTTGGACACGGACTGGCTGGGCAGGCACACAGCACACTTGAGCATACGCTGGTCCCGCCTGGTCAGAGCTGTGGGAGTCCTCAGGCTCGGGACCGGCAGCATCTGAGGGTGAGCAAGGGGCAGCCTTGGGCTGGGCTTGGGGGGAGAGGGGGGTGGTTAGGCTCCTCCTGGGGGCCTGGGAAGCAGGAATCCCTGTTTGTCTGCCTGTCTCTTCTGGACTGTTTTTTTCTGTTGTGTTCTCCTCCCAATTCCCTCCCCCCCCCCCCCAATATTCTTTCACTTTTCCCACATTTTCTGTTTTTTTCTTTTGCACTTTCCTGCTCTCCTTTTTTCTCTTCCCTCCCTCTGCCTTGAGATTTCCAGTTTTCCATCTCCCCACTGGGCGCCCATGGTACCTGTTTGCTAGGCCACACAGACTGCTTCTCTATGGGGTCTCTGCCCTTTAGGTACCTGGTGCTGATCTCCTTAGTTCTAGCTCCCTGCACCCCACTGAGGATTCTCTCAGGAGGCTTAGGTGGGCTTCTCTCAAGTTCTAGTTCAAAGGTGCTGTGACTCTGGACAGCTCCTACCCGAATACCCCCCCCCCCCCCCCCCCCCGAGTCCAGGGTGATAGGGAGACCTGCCAAAGACTGGCATTTATTTGCCTGGTTCTTATCCCTCCCTCTAGGACTGGTAGTGTGGTCGGTGGCTATGTTGTTGGGGGTAAGGCTGGGCTCCCCTCCCCCCAATTGTTGTGTTTTTCTTATGAACTCAACAACTCTGTGCTTTGGGTCACTGGGGGATATAGAGATGCTTCTAAACCAGGGTCTTGTCCGTGCACCCAGCCCTGCC